AGAAATATATGACACAGGAATAAAAATACTAAATGTTTTATATACTGACGTTAGTAGAAACAAATCCTCTTATTTGGTGGCCAACTATTAGACATACAACATAATACTCGGAAGTAGATAAACGTAGATACTGAAACAAGGAATCACTGAATTTAAACTTGTCAAGTTTTCATGACCTGTTTTTTATATCAATTAGAAAATGAATTTTGTAAACTGTAACATTGTTACACCATTTACTCAAGTCTCACTTGAAAGTAACGTATTTGAAAAGCATTTACCTTTCGTCTTAGCCAGCTGGGCTAAGTTTTGTGTCCTTGTATCAACAATAAACCCTTTCTTTCCTGTCCCTAAAGCAGCATTAACAAGTCGTTCATCCTCCTTGCAACGTTTGTTGCCATTTGCAACCATTGGCTGGCTACTTCTTAGGAGTGCTGCCTATGAGATGTCGATACACAAATAAATCAATCAAGTTATATAAAATAACTTATTATATCACATACATGATTATTATGTCAGCTGATACTATACTTTACTATTTACACACTGAAGAAATCTACTCTGTTCTTCGAACAGCCGACTCCAAGGAAGACCTTTCTTTCATCTTGTGTAAAATACACCGAAATTAGGACTAAAGTTAAGGAAACAGATTTAAAAAATAAATTACCTTGGTTTCTTTGTGAATGTAGCTCAACACAGGAAAACGGCCAAGGTGACGAAATCCTGCTATAGTTTTAAGAGCATCATCATCAACATTTTTAGGAACAATCACTGCTTGAGGATATGATGGACATAGCTGTAGCATTGAAGAAAATAAAACAGAGGGTTTTAAAATGAATAGAACAAACTTACAATGACGTTTTACAAAAATTAATCCACCCTCTTATAAGTAATTGTTTTGAGGTTATGAAAAGTTTTTGAATAAAAAGACAAGACGTTTCTGAAACTTTATATGCTTTTAATACAAAAATATAACTCTGTCCAATTTTTGAATTACACAAGTCAAAGAAAATTATGACAGAAAAAAAAAGAGAAAGGATATGAAGCCTACATTTTGTGAATGTTTGAACACTCGAGTATGAATACTATTAGCATTACTTAAATTGAGAGTAGGAATTGTTATGTATCTGCTTGTGATGATGACAAATGGACTATGCTCTTCTTTTTGAGGTCAATTAAGTGTTGTGGGAGAGGACGTCCTTTCTTTATGGTCGTATTTCTTGCCTTAACATTGACTAGCTCTACCTCCTGGCACACACCCAACAATGCCCCTTCCTTAAGTGTCTGCTCACATTTAGAGAAATTAGCTACTGTTATGGGTACTACTTGATGACCTGGCACAAGTGACCTTCCAATCTTCAGCATGTATTATAAAAGTTGTTAAGTTTAAAGTGACAAAAAATGTACTGACTGTGGAATTACTGTGTACTAAAAGTTTGTATAGAGAAAGAATAAACTGGTTTAATCAAAAAAGGACTTGTATCGCTGAAGTTCCTCAGAAAAAAATTTCTACTGGAACAAACAAGCAGATATGTAACAATATATTATTGATTGTTTTTTAAAAGTAATTTCAGTTGTGGTAAACTTTATTGATTGATACAAACTCTCCTTATTGAACTTACATAATGGTCTCTATTTACATAGCTGATCCTCCACTCATCACTGTGACTTTTGATCTTCGAAAACTCCATTTCAGGTAAGAATGCTGTCCATCCATCTTCCATCAGGTCAAACATGGCACGATGAAAAAATGGATAAAGCAGGGTCAAATCCTCTGGAACGTTTCAAACATTTAATAGATATATCTCATTAAATAGACAAATAAAATACAAAAGATGTTATACTACATCTACTGTTATTTGTCTACATATAACTTCAAATATCTCAAAAGCTATTATTAAATTAAACATAATATCTCACAAGGTTCACTTAACTTAGATGGTTTACATTTGTCTCTATATGCTAACCTTCATACATGAACACTGAAATATGTAACTCTAAGAGCTGCTCCTACTGGTAAGTTAATTTCAGAGGTGTCTATATAAATTGGAACCACTGTGAAACGTACAGCCCAAAATTTTATTTCTATGTTATTTTGGACAGTAAGCTAAATAAAAACATATATATATATATATATGAAGTCCAACTGATGAAAAAATGAACTATTAATAGCCTCAATCTGAAGTAGAGATAACATATATAAAAACCTGTATTCATAAGAAACCCCCCTTAAAGAAATGTGTTTCAGTATAGAAGAACTATATATACATATACACACACATCATTTAAGGACAACAAGAGACCTGCTGGTCCTTTCAGGCCATTCTGTTCACTCAACCAAACTTTTTTTTTGAATTTTACACAAACTTACACTAAGACTCTCTTCACTAACCATCCCTAATTTTGTAGTGATAAACTAGAGGGAAGGCTGCTAGTCAACACCACCCTCTACCAACTATTGGGCTACACTTTACGAACATATAGTGTGATTGACCCTCATATTATAATGCTCCCTTGGCTGAAAGGGTAAACATATTGGGAGACAGGATTCGAGCCTGCCCTCAGACTGTTCTAACCATCAGGACAAACTAAACTTTTAAATGAAAATAAAATATTCAAAGTAGCCCTTATCATTCAAATATTTATCAAGTCTTCCATTAAACTGTGTCCACAACATCTGAAGTTAACCCATTCCAAAGGCCAACCACCCTGTTAAAAAACTGTCTTAGCTGAAGATGACTCCTACCCTGTCAAAATTTATATTTGTGTCCCCTAGTCCTACTATTCTCACCTTTAAGTACAAGAAAAGATGATGCATCAACAATATCAATTTCCTAAATATTACTAAACACCTCAATCAGATTCCCTCTAATTATTCTTTTATTCAACAGAAAACAATTTCAGAGATCTTAACCTATCCTCGTATGACAACCTTTCCATCCTGGGTATCATTCCAGTAACCCTCCTCTGAACCCTCTTTAAACAATTAATATCCTTTCTAAGGTAAGGAGCCCAAAATTGAACACAATATTCCAAATGTGGCCTAACCAGTGACCTATACAATGAAATTATAACCTCTTTAGACTTGTATTCAATAATTCTGTAGAGACAACCCAAAATTCTAGTTGCTGTACAGCTATCAACAGCACACTGCTTGGATGACTTAACCCTATGTGTATGGATGAGAGACAAAGTGTGAACATCACAACAGTTTACAGAGTTACATTCAAAACTTATTTAAAAACTTTATGACAATAAGCCTGGCATCCAAACAGTTTACAATTGAAATTCTAATACAAGTTTTAATTTCTTAATTTTGAAGGGAAATATTTGATTAAATTATTAATTTTCACTTCTTGCTCCAAATTGCCCGTTTTATATTTTTTTCCATCCCTATTTGAGCCTTTGAGTTTTAACACAAATCACACAACTACAGTATAAGTACAGCTAAGAAACAATCTAAATTTATAGACTCCTGTCTTTTTTTCCTTTTACTCAGATTTAAAGCAGAAGGTAAAACCCATAAACAACACCCATCTATAACATCCTACTTTCAAAAAATGTCAATAATTCTCTCTAACATTTGTTATTGGATTATTTATAACAATAGCAAGAAACAATTTGAATTTATAAGTAGCTTCTTCTTTTAATTATTCAACCTACAGTTTCAATCTTGCTATCACCGAGTCATCTTGACCTAGCCAAAGGAATTATTTTATAGAAGGCCAGTTAAATATAGAACATTGTATCCTTTGTGAGTGTTATTATTTTGTGTTCTAAACTGAATGTTTGAAATAAATTCATTAAAGTAATACCAACAACCCAACCAAAAATGTGGCTCAACTTCTATCACAACTTTGACTACAAACAGTTCACGACCCACATTTAGGAGATTGTAGAGGTAATATATATAAAACATGAAAAAAAAAAAATTTTCTTAGCATTAAAATCACCTTTCACTCAGTCTAATCAGGGTCCGAGTCAGTCTGACTTCATAATTTCACAAACAAATCTTTAGTAAAAATAACTTATTAAAAAAAATCTAATTTTTGTGCACAACAGACTTATTATGTTTACTAAATTTCTGCCACATTTTATAAAGATACATGTAGAAAATTCAGAATTAAAGTAAATATTAAATCTCTAATATGGTATCAGTTCAATTAAATGACCTTGTGTACGTAGGGTTATTGCTCTTGATACAGGTGGTTCAAAGAGCATGTCACGACCTTTTTACAGTTACACGAAAAACATGATTAAACTACTTTATACACAATGTATGTCAATATACATAGCATTAATACATAGTTTACAATTGAAGTTTCTTAGTTTCAAAAGGAAATATTAGAATAAATTATCTTTCTTTACCTATCTTTGTCATGGGACCCTTTGAATTCTTCTTTTCATATTTTTTACTTCCCTCATATGGGTTTTTTTTGTTCAAAAATGTATAATTGAAAGATACATTGATTATTTTTTGGACAATGAACACAGAAGAAAAAAAGAAGGCTTATGAAAACAGGATCCAAGTGAAAACTGCTCTGGTTCTAAGGTAAGTGATCTTTATTCATTGTTATATTCTTTTTTAACTAAAAATTAAAAACCTACAAGGTTACACAAGAAAACTCAAATCAAAAACTTTTTGTAATCAACAAGATAAAGTGTAAAGTTTTATACTTTTAGGAGGTTCTGTATGTTATAGAAGTTGAAATATGAAAACTGTACGACTGGCTCAGTAAAATCACCTCTCACTCACACAGACTGGCTCAGTAAAATCACCTCTCACTCACACAGACTGGCTCAGTAAAATCACCTCTAACTCACACAGACTGGCTCAGTAAAATCACCTCTAA